AAGAATTGTAAGAATGGCAAATTGCTAACATCCATCTTTGTATCATTATAATTATTATAAAGAAACTTAAGGATTATAATTATTAGTGGAGAGAATTTGATCTTAAAAATTACTTTCAAATGAAATTCTCTTTAATCTGGAGCATCTACCACACTTGTGTGGCAGTTCATATATACAAGTACTTGCAGATTACATCTTACTGTTACAGCAGTCTATAATATTATTTTTTGATTTATATTCTGTACTCCCTTAGATATGGCAAGTAAGCTCTATATACAAAAATTATAAAGCCATAACTCTAAGGTCACAAATAGATAATAAAATAGAAGAAACTCATAAACTGAGTCAATCAAAATAGATGATACAAAGGTGAAATTGCAGCAGTTGCGTGCACTTGCCTCACTGTGCAGTGCAAGAGATACGGGGTGCAATCCTAGGCACTTTTAGACAGAAAAGGTGTGGCTGAGAAATGCTGGAAGTGGCAGGCCTTTGTTCTGTCTAAGCATGCATGGAATCATGAATCTCTATCCTGTCACTTATTGATCATCTCTATCAATGGAGAAGACCTCCTATCCCAAGAGATGAGCAATTAATGAGAACTATGTTGTCTGTTTTTATGCACTCTACACAGTTTTGAGAAAGACAATCTGTGGCAATGAGCTAAGTAATTGTAAAATCATCATAAAGTATGTAGGCATTTTTCACAAAATATGCAGACCATCTCATTGCTCATCTAGATGGGAACCAACATGACAACACAACACTGGCCATTTGCACATAAGTAGCTGCCAAGTTCAATAGAAACTCAAGCTCAGATAGTGATTGTTGTGGTCCAAGCAGGCAAGCAAGGTCAGGGAATGTCTAGGAAGACAGAGTGGGAGGAGCTGGCAGTTTGGACTGAGGAAAACCCAGGTCAATCAACCCATGGAAATGAAGAGATAGGAGAAGAGGAGAGAGCTTGCCAGCTTGGGCAGCTAGGCGCCCCAGTATATCAATTTGTAAGGAAGAGGTGGAGCTGGAGGCTGGACATGTGTCACAGCAGAGAAGTAGGAATAGAGAACGCAGTAGTTTGTCATATGTAGAAATCCCTCCTCCTGAAGGTGGTTCCTCACTAGGCACCATCACTGGTGGGAGGTTCAGTTGGTTGAAAAATGGGAAGAATGCAAATGAGCATGTTTTCACAATGCCCTGCCTTCTGGAGTGAGATGCACAAGGGTGATAAAAATGCAAGGGAATGACTGATGTTAAAGAGGATTCAGTGTTTCACTCTGGGTGAACTCAGACACTTGTAACAAGAAAGTCTATTAGAAAAAGAAGTTTTGGAGTAGTGTGTTTGCTCAGGAGGCTGCTGGCTCAGGACACTGTGTTCAAAGAGGATTGAAGTGAAAAGAGGACCGCAGTGCACAAAAGCCAGGTTAATGAGCTAAATTAGGACCAAAACTGTTATTTTAAATTAATACCAAGCAGCTATGTCTTGTTTAAAATTTTAATTATGGGGTGAATGCAAATAACCTAATTCAACTGAGTCCCAGGTGCTTTTCAGATATGGATTCAACCCACATCCCCATTCTAGAGTAAAAAAGACAAAACATGAAGCTTCTGGATACAGATTTAAAGTAATGCCCCCTTTAGCTCTGCAGTTATTTTGTGTTCTTTTGAACTCAAGTTCAACTTTCGTATCAAAATTTCCTGTTTGAGAATATGCATGCAATTTTCTCATGTTGTTTTTGCAAGAGTTCTATGAATAATATCAACCCCAGGGTCCGCCTGCGAGCCTTGCGCTGAGCACTCAGTTGCCTTTCTACAGCTTCTCATCTGGTGCACTGCTTGCACAAGGAACAGGCACTGGAGAATAAGGGGAAAAACCCAACTTGATTTGGGTAGCTGACTTGGGAGCAACTGACCCTTGACATCAGGGACTGCTGGCTTCCAGGCTTGGCTTTAGGTATCAGAGTTTGGTTCTATAGCTCTAGAGACAGAGCTGCTAATCTAGGGCCAAAGAGTTCCTCCTTCATGTTCAAGTCCTGACTACTGCTGAAGTCCAACTTTAACTTGTAGAATTGAAGTGCAATCTCTAGCATTCCTGGAAGCCTTATAATCCGCTTAAATATAACTAGATTATTATATAATCCAGTCATATTACACTTTTTGGGAATCTCTGCTCATTTTTTTATTACTTCTGGTATGATGTACAGCTTGTGGCAAAATCTGTAGCTATTACATGACTCAAGGTAACAAATGCAATTCCTTTTTGTGGCGTGATAAGCAACTGTGGCTTAACCCTAAGATGATAAGACCTTTTTGGAGCACAGTCTAATGTTCTGTCCCCTCACAGCATAGAAGTGCAGAAGCTGGGCCCTCTCCACCTGATCCTTGGAAGCTGAAAATCAGGGAATTCTCAGTCGACTTGCCAAGGCCACTTGAGAGCAGACAGGCAACTGTGAGATTTAGGCAGTTTCAGGGTTCAGGTCATAAAATGGCATTCTTGCTGACATAGGTATGTCCACATTTACAAACAACAAATTGTTATTCCTTAGAATACTGGTACATAATGGACAAAGTAAAAAAAACAAAAAACAGACAAACAAACAATGACTAAATGCACCTATTGTACTGCCCATATGCTATAGAATATCTATTAACTAAGTTCACTGCTGAGTATTTATTGATTACTACCATTCCTATACTTTTTAGCTTGTGAATTCTTAGGATAAGTTCTGCCTCATATGGTGAACGCCCTAATGTAAAACCTTAAGGGTTTCTCTTCACAAGTAATTTATTGTACACTTGTGATCCCTCATGCATGAAAGTTTGTAGGACCTTTCAATGATGTCAGCCTCTTCCAGAGCCTCTCTCATGTTTTCAGGTCATTATTGCAGCTTTTTCAGAGCAAGGAAAGTCCACTATTAAATTCCCAACTGGAACAAAAGCCTCATGTATTTTCACAAATCTGCTAGACTTCAACTATAGCACATCTCCATCTTGTGGTTGTTTCACAGAAAATATAGAAAGGCAGATAAATGAAAAACTCAAGACAAAAAATCCATGTACAGTATGCTTTTTTCCACCTGCATTTGTGTGTGTGTGTGTGTCTAACATATATGGGATTGTGTGCGTAATCATTTGTAAAGAGGAGTGGAATATTTGTACACTTGTGATAGCATGAAAAAGTACTACAGTTTTATGCAATTTCTCATCATAATCTAACAACAAAAGCCTTAGTAAAATTATTTACCCAGATTTAAGTCAGAAAACTTTTTTATACTACATTTTACTCTAGAATATTGTTAGTCCTTACCAACAATGTCATGTCAATGAAAAGAAAACCATCACTTTCACAATCTGTAGGTGGGAATATTTTTGGATATTCACCCCAGAAAAGTGTAATTATCATAATGCATTACATGTGCTCCTCTATCTGTATATGGTAAGTATAAAAACAGAGTGCTGAGATACTTTGTTGAAGACAGGCACTAACACAGAAGTCAAGGATCACACTGAAACTAGAAACCACAGCATGTACATACGCAGCCAGTCCACAATTTTGCAGCCAGAAAATCCTAATGGGAATAAATTATGCATACTTTTTGGCTGTAACATGAGAGTGACTTTTGTGCATGTCAGTTTTGGAGTATCAGACAAAAAGATATTTCTTTTGGCCAGTCAGCCTCCTTAGCACATCCAGCCTGCTCAGCAGGGAGCAGGCAATGTAGATTCGGGCTTCCCCTCTCTTCCTACAATAGTGCCCTATTTTCTCCCCCACCACTCTGATGTCTCTCCTGAGACTGAAGTTAGAAGCTGCCATAGAGATTTCCACAGAAACTGAGGGTAGCAATTGGTGCCCTCCTTCTTCACAGTCATAACTCTGTTTGTAGCTGTGGAGAGCCTCCTCAGACATCATCTCAGAACCATAAGAATGTATAATGAAGGAATAGCTGAAATTTGATGTTCTTTAACAATCTGACACAAAATTTACAATTATTTCCATTTTTAATACTTATGAAGCTCATCTGGTATTGTCATCATTCAATGCATTTTCATCATTCACTGTTTCATACACACACACACACACACACACAATAAGCTGTTTGAACCTGGTCGGACTATTTGTTCACTCTAGTAAAGGACTTCAGCATCACCTCCCCCCTGCTCCAAGATATAGCAGAGACTGAACCTACAGTTCCTCCTTCCTGGGCTTCTTGAAGAAGCAGGGAAACTGCAATATAAAAATTCACACAACCCATTGATACAGTAATTATATGACACATTAATGATTCCTTCAGAATGAATCTGTTAACTGCACATAGTAAAAATGCTATGTTTATATTAAAGCTGCTGCAAATTTCAGCTGATCTATCAAGCAATAGATGCAATCAATGTAGAAATCATGGTTGTGTGAACCCACCCTGGGTATGTTAGGGAAGTGTTCATATTCTTGGAGCAGAAGACTGGATTTCAGAATTTGCTACAAAACTCTTGACCATAGAAATGCCTGAAAATATGCTTTTCACAATATAAGGAAAATATTGATTTTACAATTCTGACAGATACTATCAGCTTAAAACTGACAGACAATACTCATTGTAACATGGTACAGTAAAATAAAATCATTACTCATTAATTTATTTTTTGTCAATCACTAAAAGCCATATGGCATCTAAAGAAGAACAGAAAGTGGGTAGGAAATCTTGCTATTTCCATTCTCATAAAGATACCAACACTGTAAAAGGCATTTCCTACTTCTGCCAAAAATGGATATTTTGCTATATTCAAAGACCTGTTCTTAATATGATCCAAAAATTGATCATCTGTGACCATCTGTGAAAGAAATGTTTCCTTTCAACAGGAGCCATATTTCAGTTCAGTCTGTAGGAGTTCTTACATATTATCAAATTGGTCTATGCTTGTACATTTCACACTGCAGTAGTTATTTGTGTTAGTCCAAGATCATTAGATTCCTCTTGTCCTGGAGGACAGTAAGATGACATTTCCACGACTAGTCATACTGGCTTGTTTGTACCATCAGTGTCCCCAGCATAAGCAGGGTCTTGAACGGTGTTTCGGGCTCTACTGGTGCTTTGTTGGTCCATCTTCATCTTAAAAGGAAAGCAGAAATCTTTGAAACATCGCTTGAAGTTTTCATCCAGAAAAGCATACAGGATGGGATTCAGACTGCTATTGGTGTAGCCCAAAGCAATGCAGAAGTAATAGCTAGAAATGGCTGCGGTACTGTGTGATACATCTCCAAGGGCCTCAACCAACACAAAGATATGGATTGGAGTCCAACAGATGATGAAGACTGCAACCACAACAAGAACCAATCTGGTGATGCGACGGAGATTTCTGTCTTTTTCTCGAGATCCAGACAGAAGTCGCACACTCTTCAGGCGCAGAATCATTAGAGTGTAACAAACAACTATGATTAACACTGGGATGATAAATGCAAAGACAAAGACACAGATTTTCATAAAGGTGTCCCACCAAACGTAGTCATCATCTGGAAACTGTAAAGAACACTCTGTACTGCCTGTATCTGTAAATTAAAGAGCCAATAAGAAAACATATAAATTAAGTTAAAAAAACACAATGTGACAGTAAAATATAGCATATGTTTTATTATTTCAAAATGATGTCACTCCAAGATGTACTGCGTCACATAGTTAGACTCAAGCACTTCAGGACATGATCAGCGAAACTCTTCTGTCCTTAATTATTTATTGACAATCTTTGCTTTCACAGAACGTACATTGCATACATATTTGCTGATTTCTACCATATCTGTTTCATCCAGTTTTTCTCTTCTATGTTGCCCTCACATGTGGCCTAGAATTAATTTAAAATAACCAGCTACATAGTTCTGCTGCAGGAACTGCTTCCATTAACAGAACTTGGAGTGGATGATTCCCATTTCTCTTGCTGTCCCCAACCTTTCCTCAAAAACTCACCCTAAGGGCTGAAGGGACCTTTCACAGTAAATACAGGGGGGAAGAGAAATAAAGAGGGTCCTGTCACTCAAGTGGAAGCCCATTCCCATGACTTTGGACTCCACCCAGAAATGCAAACAGAACAGTAAAAAGTGGGTATTAAACAGTAGCATACACTGGATATTTGTTCTGGATCCTACACAGAATACAGAAAATTCAGATTAAATAGAAGTTCCTTCAAGGTTCCAACATGAGGCCAAATATAATCTTTGCAAGGTATTTTCTGAGATGTTTTCCCAGTTCAGTGCAAAAAGAAGTACAATTTCTCAAACTGCATGCTGGAAATACTTTGGTCTCATGAAATGGTCATGCAAGCAGGGTAGGCCTGCCTCTCTGAAATCCTTCACACCAGCCCAAAGTCCACTGAATGACAGAAAGTGCACTTAGGGGATTCTTCACTGGGGGACCCATCCTTTCCAACTGGAATCCTTGATCCTCAGCCTGTTTATTGCACTGCTTATAGTACTCTGTGCTTCTAGTTTGATGTTAATGCTAATATTAGCAGATGAACTTTAGCATAAGCTTGCAAATGTATTTCAGGTAGGTAGTCTAGTTTTTCTACCTTCAGGCAATTATGTAAATTTTTAATGAAGTGGAACTCTTTCAATTTACAGTGGTTGGAAGGAGAAGCACTGGCTTTTATGGGGTGGATCTGCTAGTAATGAGGAACAGCAGCTGAGAGTGGAGATGCATGATTTACACAGATGAGATATATATAGTGGAGTGCAATCAGCTGATTGGATGGATTGTCTGACAGGTGTTACTCCTTTTATGACAAATTATGTATTTACTGTTCATTAACAGTACAGAATATCAAGAGGAAAGGCACATAGAGGGTGCTGGCCATGGGGTGTCAAAATCTTTGCCTCTACTATGTATCCTTGTATGGACAGATGTTGAAAGAGTGGAGGGTTTTCATCCCAGCCCCACCCCACCCCCCTCATTTTGCCTTTCCCCAAATTGCAAGAGACTCTGTCCTGACTTGCATGCTGCACAAGACTGGAATCAGCCAGCACTCAAAGGGGTCATTCCTCCTTTTGCCTGCTTAAGTCTTTTTCTTCATAAACAGAGAGGCACAGATCAGCAGTTAGGAAGGGATATTATCCCTTCAGTATAACAGTATATTATCACTGTTATATTGGATATTCATTTGGAAATAAGAGCATCATGTTGGCTTTTTACCACTCATTATCTACAACTGAGAAAACAAAGAAGGAATACCAGTTGTTTGGTCCAATGAGGGATAACAGTGATGATGCCTGAATGGGTGGGGACTTGGGATCCAGGCCCTGCCCCGAGGTAATCCAAGCAGGCCCCACAAGCCAGCTGAGGAACTTTCCAGGCCGGAACGGATCAATGGAGTGGAGATTTCCCATCCATGATCTACTGGATGTGACATGTACTATATATCTTATATAGAATGCCCACATTGACAAGCTACTCATTTTGACTGCTGAAGACTGATTGGAAAACCTTTAACAGTAAGGTTAAACATCTTTCCCCATGTGGCCAGGCCACACCTTGCTGTGCTATCTGAAAGTAATATAGTGGCCTCATGGATAGACATAGACATATTTTTATGGATTATGGATGATCTGGGGTCCCCCCCCCGACACCTTTTCACAGCCTGGCATCATGAATCTTGCCTAATAAAGGCATGGAAACAATGGAGCCTGTACTCACCTTCTCTGACTTTTGTGCCGCCAAGGACTATAGCTGATATACCAACTGATGAAGATAAGAGCCAGATGCAGATATTGATTACTTTAGCCTTCAGAGGTGTACGGAAGTCCAGCGCCTTCACAGGGTGGCACACTGCAATGTACCTGTCGACACTCATCATGGTCAGTGTGAATATGCTGGTGAACATGTTATAATAGTCAATGGAAATAACTATTTTACATAGCACATCCCCAAATGGCCAAGAGTTCATTAAGTACTCGGTACTTTGGAATGGCATTGTTGTAGTGACAAGGGCATCTGCCACAGCCAGATTAAAGATATAGATGTTGGTTGCCGTCTTCATTTTTGTGTACCTGGAAGACAAGAAGAGAAATTTAAATTTCCTCCTCCTTTCAAAGTTTAGTGGATGGAGAAATTTTATGAATGGAGAATATTCTGACCAGTCCAGTTAAATGGGCTGAGACAGATCTGTGCAGGAAGCAGGTGCTTTTCAAGAAAGCTTTCACATACAACTATTCAAGGAGCTCCCCTTTCTAAGATGTTTGGGAGGTGTGCACTATGATAAAGGAGCACATCCCCACATTTCCAAGGCCAGTGGGTCGAGTTCTCTGCCTATCTGGGTGGAGCTGCCCCAGTTACCCTGCCTGCCTCAATGTCTTCCTGCCTCCCCACCCCCATCCCGGGCCACCCAAAAGGGCAATGCTTCCCTCTTTACCCTTGGTGATGCTGCTGCAGAGAACCAAATCTGAGTGGCTACATTATCTTCTTTTAAACATAATGCAAAAGAAAAGACAATGGGCTGGATCCAGACTCAGTCCTACTAGATTACTCAGTGTAACTTAAGTGGGCATGATTAACATAAGCCAGTGTTAATAGGGATACTGTAGGTGTTACCAAGTCTGGATTCAACCCTGTAGGTGCTTTTTTTGTGTTTGTTTAGACTTAGGAAAGATAAGTGGACTGTGTCCATATGAGGAAAACAAGGATGTCACAATTCTATTGTTTGTCTGAATTCTTTTCTGTTTTCTGATGTATGCATTGTTGTGTTGATTGTCACTGTTTTGTTTTGCTAACTCCTTTGGATGTAGCTTGTTACCAAAAAAGCAAGGTATAACTAGGTAGGTAAGTAGAAATAAAACATTTTTCATCACCTAATTAACTACATAATCCGTGTTTGCCTGAAAACATTCAGTGTAAGAGGATAAAATAATGCAGAAGGAAAAGCACAGTGAGGAGCTGTGGGCTCTTCTTTATGAGGACTGTATGAGGACTTTAACCCACTGCTTCTGTTTTGTCACTTACACGGTTCCCTCCTCCCCAGGGTTTGTACTCCTCTGTCTTTCTATTTATTCTGTTACTAACCACAGGCTGTCACTGTGGAACAGCTGCACCACAGTGGATTTGCAATGTCTCAAGAGGCTTTTGCTTTGAACCATGCAGTTTAAAATTTAGTACCAAAATGGAAGGAAGGAAGGAAGGAAGGAAGGAAGGAAGGAAGGAAGGAGGAAAAACCACACACAAGAGGTTCTAGAGGACAATGACATCAGGAAAAGGCTGCTCCAATGTCTGTAAGGGATCATGAAAGCACACTAATTGCCTTGCATGTACAGGAGCCCATGGTGACTGAAACAGCTATGAAGGAAACTCTCCAAATATGGCACATTAAGGGTTTTCACGGGACATTTCATAACTCCTGCAAGACTATTTTTCACCTCCAATTATTTTGCAGAAGAACATCTGGAGCAGCTTTAGGCAAGTTACTATTCCTACTTTAAAAACAAGAGTATTGATGTTCCCTAAGGCTTGAATTGTATTCTGTACATTCAATTAGTTCCTATAACTGATGTATTGTTGCATTGCTGTGTTACCCATTAAATTTTATTTGCCACAGGCAGAACCGAATTAATGAGAGATTTTAATTAGATTATGCAAATTAGCCAAGCTTTCATAAAGCCACTAGATATATTTTTACCCAATATAATAAGAACAACAACTAAATGAAGATATAATTTTCTCTGTTGGTGACAAGTAGACCATCCCAAATATTTCTTTTCATGTGTATCTCTGGGCTTATTAAAGAACCTGTTGCATTTTCTTGTCAACATTTAGTGGCATTAAGCAATATTCATTATTATTGCTGCACAGCCCAGTTAAGTTGACCTAGTGACTGAGCATTGCTACTCCTACCTGATATTAAATCATATGTTGGTCTATAATGTTTAAAATATTCACACATAAAATTGGTAGCATGGTAGCCATGAGAGCATACAAGGAGGAGCTTTTCCCACATAAGATCATTATTAATCTCACATAATATCATTTATATTGCTATTTTGTGCCATTCAGTTGCTTCCAACATGTGGTGACCCTATGAATGAAAGCCCTCCAAAATGTTATGTCAATTTGTATTAGTGAGTTAATCAAATGTTTAAACAGAGCATCACACATACTTTTTAGACAATAATATGTTGTACTCAGAATCTCTTAATGTTGCTTTAACAATAGTAGAACTGTAGTACATATGTTCAGTCAAGATAGTAAAAGACCATTCTTTGAACCCTTTTAATTCTTGTAACTGAATGGGGCGGTGTGTCTTTAAACACTTCAAACTCCATTTCAGATTGGGCTATAAATTGAACATGTGATAGTAAGTACAGTCATGTCAGACACACTGGAGAAACAAAATTACCTTTTCTTCCATCCAGATTGTGCCTATATTTAACTAAAATTATCCTTGCTAAAATCATTTGTATATACCTAGAAAATGATTCCTGTCACTAGAGGCTCTCCAGGTGATTTGAAAAAGTGGTCATCCTGGCATGATGAGCCATGTTCCTTCTCTTTAAATGGCATCCTGGGGCAATGGGAACTAGTACAGTGGGGAAATGGATTCAAAATTATTGGCTGAGTCACACTGTGCCTGTCAATGATAGCATCATAATGGAAGAATCATAATGTCAAAGCTCTCTTTCCATTGCAAGCTGAAATGTGAGCCCACCCCTTCCACCAAAAAGATTATGTAAGCAAAAACATCTTCGGTGAAGACCCCACTGCAACACAGTGTGTGTTAAAGTTGCAAAAGGTGTTCCCATGTACATGGTTTCCTGGGTCTGAAATGTTCTAGAAAACTACCCTTTCACTTCTTTTCTTTAATTGCCTAAAGGCAAACTTATCTTTCCCAGCTGCAGATGTGTTGATCATGCAGGCTGTGGATTGTGGGATTCATAATCCAAAAGCAAAACAAAGCCAGGAAAGATTATTTATTGAACAGTTAGAAGCGGAGACAAATGTGAAGTCAAGAAACTCAGTAAATTTTATACTCAGTTAGAAAAGACTAAAAGCAACATAAATACAAAGCTATGAAATCAGATAAACACAGGATAAATAACTTCAGAGTAGTAGTCCTATACAATAATATACAAAGAATGCTGTAAAGCAAATAAATATATTTACATCAAATTGTAATCAGTTCATTTAAAATTAATATTACGGTTTTCCATTTGTGAGGTGCATTTCAATGATAAATCCCCTGGAAAAAAAATCACTCAGCATCAGCTACTTGCCTCAGCAGGGATCCAGGGGCCCATTATCAGGGTTCATAGTTAGGTGAATGAAATAAAGCATGATATTAATTTGAAGTACAATCCAATCTGAATGCCCATAACCCTCCAAAGTTAGCAAATGATGGACATAATAGCCTAAACAGGGTAGGAGAATGGCAGAGGCAATGTCACCTCTGTTCACTCTAGGCTATGCAAGACACACGGAGAGCTGATTTTCAACTTAGAGAGGGAATAGATTTGTGCTATGCTTTTATTTTATCTATTTATTTGGAGAACTTATATGCCACCCCATTCGCATAAGCCTGCGGGTGGCTTCTAAACCATAAATAAATACAATCGATACAATTACATAAAATATTGGGGACATCCTGGCAAAAAATTGTTAAAAACAATAAATAAAATCAACAATTAAAATAACGTTTAAATAAAAAGGTCTTGGCCTGATGCTGAAAAGCAAATAACGATGGCGCCAGGCAGACCTCTCTGGGGAGTACATTCCATAAGTTGGGCGCCACCACAGAGAAAGCCCTCCTCCGGGTACTCACCCTCCTAATATCTTTCATGGAGGACTCCCGGAGAAGGGCCTCTGTCGCCGATCTCAAGGGGCAGGAGGGCATATATGGACGTAAGTGCTCCTTTAGGTAACCAGGTCCCAAGCCATTAAGGACTTTATAGGTGATAACCAGCACCTTGAATTGGACCCAGACTTCAATGGGGAGCCAGTGAAGCTGACAGAGGACTGGAGTTATGTGAGCACAACGCCCAGTCCCCGTCAGCAACCTGGCTGCTCTATTTTGCACCATCTGAAGTATCCGGACTGTCTTCAAGGGCAGCCCCATGTAGAGCACGTTACAGAAGTCTAATCAGGAAGTAACCAATGCATGTGTCACTGTCAGGCAATCGTTCTCCAGGTAGGGGTGCAGCTGATGGATCAGCCAAAGCTGAAGGAAAGTGCTCCTCGCCACCGCTCTTACTTGAGCTTCCAAAGATAGCTCTGGATCAAGGAGCACTCCCAAGCTGTGGATCCTGTCCTTAAGAGGGAGTGCAACTCCTTTCAGGACAAGGTCGAGGTCCCCCACCCCGAAGTCAGACCCGCCTACCAACAGGACCTCCGTCTTGTCTGGATCGAGCTTCAGTTTATTGGCCCTCATCCAGCCCATTACCTTGGCCAGGCACTGGTTCAGTACAGCCACTGCCTCACCTGGATTGTTTGAAAACAAGAGGTAGAACTGGGTATCATCAGCGTACTGATGATTTCGCAGCCCACACCTCCTAATGACCTCTCCCAGCGGTTTCATGTAGATGTTAAATAGCAGGGGGGACAAAATGGATTCCTGTGGAACTCCATGGCATAGCTGCCATGGCACAGAGCCATAGTCCCCCAGAACCACCTTCTGGAATCAGCCATTGAGATAGGAGCAGAAGCACTGCAAAGCAGTGCCTCCAACTCCCAATCCCGCTAGCCTATCCAGAAGGATACCATGTTCGATGGTATCGAAAGCCACTGAGAGGTCCAGGAGGACCAACAGGGACGCACTCTCCCTGTCTCTCTCCCTGCACAGGTCATCATACAGGGTGACCAAGGCAGATTCAGTACCATATCCAGGTCTGAAGCCAGACTGAAATGGGTCCAGATAATCAGTTTCATCCAAGAGTGCTTGGAGTTGTCCCGCCACCACCCATTCCAACACCTTGCCCAAGAACGGGATGTTGGCCACCGGTCTATAATTGGTGGCCATCTCTGGATTCAGGGATGCCTTCTTTAGGACCGGCCTGATTACCACCTCCTT